ATACGTAACATAATCGGTTGTAGTTCACTCGAATCATTTGTCATCGAGTAAATCTGATATCTGAAATCGTGATATCTTTTTTATTTTATTCGTCGAATCGATGGAAACCTCGAAATCTGATAAATGCATCAAGAGAATATAGATGACTGAGGGTCGTTAAATACCATTTGAAAATGTCAAATGACAATTAGTGTGAAAGAAAGATCAATTTTCGTTTTTTAATGAGATCGCTCCTTGATTTGATAAAAAGAAGGAAGCGTTGAAAAGGATTTCTCGACACAGCATAAATATTGTGCAGAGAAAACAGTTTAATTCTCACAGTACGCTCAATCCTCCGACGATTCGTTCTTAGCTATTCGTTTATCGAAAACAATTTTCAGGAAAATCCCGTGTACTGGATACTATTCCTCCGCCACTTGATTGTCGCTTAATCGATTGTTTTGTATCACTGGTGTTTGCTCAACAGCGGAACAGTACAACTTCAGTCTCGAAATTTTTCTTCAGCAACAATTCACTTGAGCTTTCCGTTTTTCATATGTGTCATTGATGTAAATGAGTTTATTTGAACGTATACGACACTGCTTTCCTTTTGCTTCTTTTGTCGTAACTTCTCGTTGTAGAAAATTACTATATATTCCAACACAATAATTTACTTTACTCGGCTACCTCGAACATTCATATTCATAAGTAAGAAGAAAGAATATCGCGAAATATATCTTACGCTTACGAGAAAATTAATTTACTAGGCTCCTTTTTCCGGCTGCGATAGATTTCTATCTCTTGAACGTGTCAATTCATTCCCTTTGAAAATACAATTTAAAGAAATTGCGAGCAGGTAGATAATACGAAGCTAAGGCTAAAGGCACTCTTGGATCAAGGATAAATTTTTTACGTTGATCTTTCGATGTTTTCAGTATTCATTCTTTGTTGGAGCCCGTACATAGTGTTCGATCTGCTGCAAGTATACGGATACGTGCCAGAAACCCAGACAAACATTGCCGTGGCCACTTTCATTCAAAGCTTAACACCTTTGAATTCAGCTGCGAATCCAATTATATACTGTCTCTTCAGCACGTCATTTTGTAAAACTGTACGGTGAGTTTCCAGAACACGCTAAGAAGCTCTTTGATACTCCGTGTAGAATACCACGTCGAGTAGTTTTATCGACGAAGAAGAACTTACAAGGAAATGTTCGTGTCAAAGGCAAGGATTGTTAAGATATTTGAAATTTAAAAAGTGTAGAACGTTCCGATATAAATATGATACCTTGTAATATCTTGTTTGCTGTTCACTCTTTGCGATCACAATCTTCTGCCAGACGGTTAAACTAAAACTTAAATTGCTTTTAAAGCGAAAGCATAAATAAGTTTCAAATTAAATTAAAACAACTCGTTTATAAATATAACGATGTCTTAAAACTTACGACCAACTGTGCAGGAAGAGAAGTTTTTAATTTTTCCTTCTTGTTACAAGAACTTAATTCACAACAAAGTGGACACTACTTCTGTTTCCCACACCTCAAAGAGTGAAAGAATGAATCTAAATATCTTGTACAGCAGCGGAAGTATTCAATTTCAATAGAAAGTACTATGGAATTTTGCTCATTTGTATAATAATACAAATTAATATTTCTCATGACGATATCAAAGAATATCCAGAAATTCTTTGAATACAAGTACAACAATTCTGGCTCGATAGGAACATGCAGGCGATATCATGGGTTTCTGGATGGTGTGCAACAAATCCCCATCATTGTTTCGGTACCGGTGCTCCGAACAGCAGTACCAGGACAACAGTGACGACATCGTTGACGGCACAGTCTTCGAGGAGAAGCGGTCACATCGCGATGCTGCACTCTACCACCAGGAAACGAGTTATGGTGTCACTGGTGTAAGAAATGAACGATAGAAACCACATCTATTAGACGTTCATAGAGAACTCTGTCTAATGGTTCCTTTTGAGCTTCGGCAAAGAGGCCGCAACTATTACGAGTCTCCGGAACTTAAGTTCAACGTTTCATCTACGTTTCTTCTAGAATCTCTAAAAGTACTTACAGCGCTTTGAAATCTCTGAAAGTACTTACAGCGCTTTCTTATTCTTCTCTTCGAGCCTTTGCATCTTCCGGAGGATTCGAGGAAACGTGAAAAGGAACTGAGACTCGTTTTCGTAATACAAAAGTACAAGCTACGCGTTAATGAATATTAGAAGTATAGTTTAAGAGACCGGGAGCGGAGAGATGCGAATAAAATAAGTTTTACATGATCAGTATTTTAGGTGAGATCGCGCCCATACGATTTACGTTTTTTTTTTTTTTT